CGCCGCCCTCCCGCAGGTTTGACGTGAAGACGCAGATGGTCGATCCCAAGAGCGCCAGCCCTGTGGACCAGACGTTCCCCGGGGTGCCCTTGAACACGCACGACATCTTCCAGTACCGAGGTGATGGCTGCAGACGGGGCTTGGGGGAGGGTCCTCTCTGAGACACCTCTTGCCCATGCTAGGCTCCCCTGCCTTAGAGATTAGTCAGATTCTGTGCGAGAAAGGAAAAGGCCCTGGCGATTGAGGCAAATGTCCCCAGCACAGTTATTGAGGCAGGGACCTTCCCCAGATCATACAGGGACACACAGGGGCACAGCCACAACTAGGATCCAGATTTCCTGCCTCCCCTGCTGAAAGCCCTTTCCCCTACAATACAGGTCATCTGGTTTGCATAAAGGCTCATTGCTTTATTATACGATATTTGTCAGGTGCCTATAACGTGCCAGGCCCTGTGCTGCCACTGGGAATATAGTGATAAATGACACAATTCATAGCTGTGTGTCTTTGGGCAAGTCGCTGCTGCTCTCGGAGCCTCAGTTTCCCCATCTGGAAAATTGGGATACTAGCTGGAGTTCTACTTGCTTTCTCTCTTTCACCACTCACATCCAATCAGTTGACAAATTCTGTTGATCTTACCACAGAAATATTTACTTTCACTATCTCCTTTGCAAACACGCTGCCCTAAGCCATCCTGGTTGTCCAATACCGTTAATATATTCCCTGGGAGTAGGGAGGGGTTAGGAGTGGATGCAATAGTTTTGGGGGTGACTCCAGACCTACTCCAAGGTCAAAGAAACTAACATGATCTGACCCCTCACCCCCTCCCACTGCTTCTGCCATTCCCGCTGCTCACTCCACCCACAACTGGCTTCTGGCTGCTCTTTGAACACATCAAGGTTGGTCCTCGATTAGGGCCTTTGTGCCAGTTGTTCCCTCTGCCTGGAAAGTTTCCCCCCCCCAAATTGTCACCAGGCTGCCTTGCTCTCACACTTCAGGTCTCAGCACTACAGCCACCTTTCCAAAGAGGCCTTCTCTGATCCCCATTATCTATTCACTTACTTGCTTTTGTTTCCACTGTCAAAACCAATCTTATTTATTGACACGTTTGCTTGTTAATCATGTCTTACCCCACTAGAGCAGTGATTTTCAATCTTTTTCATCTCAGGGCACACATAAACTAATTACTAAAATTCTATGGCACACCAAAAATATATTTCTTGCCAATCTGACAAAAAATAGTATAATTTTGGGCTATTCATACTGGACGGCTATTGTTGTGTTGGTTGTTGTCATTTTTAAAAATTTGACAGTCTAAGGGAAATAGGTCAGTGCCCCTGACTAAATAGTCAGGTATTGAATGTTTAAAAAATTTTTGTGGCACACTGGTTGAAAATCACTGGACTAGAGTGTTAGCACCAAAAGAACTGAGATCATGTCTGCAGTTTTTCTCTGTTGTATCCCCAGTGCTTCTAACAGTGCTTGGCATGATAAGTATTTGTTGAATGAATAAATGAATGAATGGATTTGTTGAATGAATGAATGTTGAATGAACTGTCCTGAGCACCTACTGTGTGCCAGGCTCTGTGCCAGTGCTTTGGACATTGGGGTCTATGCCCTCCAGAATCTCTGTGGGGGAGATGAAAGTGTCATATGAAAACCTTGAAAATATCTAGAAAGGGCAGGAGGGATGATTGTAAAGATCTTGCTCTTGTTTCTGTATGTATATGTGGGAGGTTTGGACTCACCCCTCTTGTACCTGCCTCTTCTCTGCAGAGAAAGTCTACTTCTGCCAGGACCGTTTCTACTGGCGCATGAGCTTCCAGGATGAGCTGAACCAGGTGGATGAAGTGGGCTACGTGACCTATGATATCCTGCAGTGCCCTGAGACCTAAGGCTCCCCATCCTGCTTTAGCACTGCAGTGTGGGTCCCCATGGGGACCATCTTGATGAAGAAGGAGCCGGTTTGCTGGATACAAACTGGTGGGTCTGTTCCAAAGGACAAAGGATGAGTGGAGGTGGGCTGGGCCCCCTTGTCCCACCTTCCTTTTTTGTTGGAATGTGTTTAATAAACTTGGATTCTCTAACCTTGAGATTTATTTATGTATGTGTGCATGCATGCAAGCATGTATGTATGTATGTATTTAACCACTAGAGTGCTTACTGTGTGCCAGGCAGTGTTCTAAGCACTTCATAAATATTAGCATATTTAATTCTTCCTATTAGGAAAGTATAATGTGATTATTCCTGTTTCACAGCTGAGGAAATGGCCAATTATTCATCAAACATTTATTGAGGCCCTATATGGAGCCATGCCCTGTGCTGGGCACTGGGGATAGAGAGATGAATTGGGCTATGTTTCTGTCCTCAAGGACCTCTCAGTGGTCCTCAAACTTTAGGGTGCATACAAGTACCATTAGAACTTGTTTAAAGTGCAGACTCCAGGCTCTACCCCAGAGAGTCTAACTCGGTCATAAGAGTGATTCTGTGGCCAGTAGGGGTGGAATCACACTTGGAGAGTGTGCAGTGTGTGACCCTTTATCCTAGACTGAAGACATGTGTGTGGGGGGGTGCGCGCACTTGTGTGTGTGTGCATGAGTGTGTGTGTGAGTCTGTGTGTTGTGCTTAAAGTCAGGAAATGTTCCCCAGCCAAGATGACATCTGAACTTGTGCTGAATCTGGAAGGATGAACAGGAGTTTCTTCTTGTAGGAGTGGGACTGTCTTCTGAGAGTTATTTACTGTGAACGTAAACAAGCCTCCTCTCTAATCCTCACACACAGCAACACATAGGAGGATGTGGATTGCAGCATTGTTTGTACTGGCAACAACCTAACTGCCCGGGGGTAAGGTGGTGGGTAAATAAAATATGGACTATATATGCATGATGATAGTGAAACTGACAGTTCACAGTAAACATGTTTAGGTATTAGATCATAGAGCCTAGAGATATAGCTATAGGCTCTAACTAAGTGTTTCAATTGCTTTGGTGACCATGTAGCTTATAGTCAAAGATTAAGAAAATGTGTTATTTATTTTTAAAGGCCTGTCTAAAAAGCAAGTTTCAGGAAAAATGTTTAAAAGTACACTTTGAGATAATAGACAAATGTAGCCAATTAAGCACAAAACAACAACTTGAACAATGACAAAGGTCACAAGATGTTTAGTTTCTGCCTTTTGCTTTAAAGACAACATCACTGATGCACAATTATGAGATATTTTGCAGAATCTTGGTTCCGCAACCTTGTTAGATCACCTGACAACAGTGACAAAGACACCAGACAAGATGACGTAAGAAACTAAATTAATCAGACTAAGGAAAACCGCTGAGGCTTGCACAAGAACTAGCCAATCAGTTTCACCCCAACCCCTAACCCTGAACCCTCAGCCTTTGCCTTTAAAAACCTTTGGTTTTTTAAAGCCATCAAGGAGTTTGGATTTTGATCAAAAGCCATCAAGGTGTTTGGATTTTGAGTTCTAGTTTGCTGTTCTGGCTTGGCACCCAGTCAATAAATTGCTTTAATTTTTCCACTGTAAAACTGGTGTTCAGTGTTTGGCTTTGCTGCGTGTTGAGTGGGCCAACCCTCTTCTGTTTGGTAACAATAGTAGCAATGCCTAGTACAGCCCTGACTATATGCCAGGCACTGTTCCATGTATTTTCTGTGTGTTTACACAGCTAATTTTTAAATCAACCCTTTGAGACAGGTACTGTTTTTACCTTATAGGTACTGTTATTATTGCTATCACTCCCCTATTTTACAAATGAGGAAACTGAGGCACAGCTCACCTGAGTCTCATAGCTGGTGAGTGGTGAATGTGTGCTCTTGGTGCAAATGCTTGGGAGAAAAGCAGGCAGTGTTGGGGAACTACAAATGGCTCAGAACTCTAGTGTGTGGTTTTAGCAGGTGGATGAGAGGGGAACAGAGAAGATTCTGGAATGACTGAGATAGGAATGGTGATCTGGACTAGATGAGAGAAAGTCTGACTGCCAGACTGAGGAGTTTGCACTTGACCTCAAAGGATGACAGAGGGACTAGACTGAAGGGTGGGGCAGATGAGTGGAGGTAATGGGCTTGATCAGATTTTATCATCTTCTGGACCTGGAGTTCAAATGGGAGTTTAAGGAGGGGGTCAGAGAACTTCCTCCCAAGCATCCTCTGGGTAGAGCCTCTCTCTCCTAACTCATTCATTTCTTGTTCAAGAATGACCCACTTCCATTGGCATGCACATATTCCTTACTATGGCTTATTTAAAATTCCTCTGGACCCCTGACTCTCTCTAGATACTGTTCCATTTCTCTACTCCCAACCCCATCCGTAGTAGAACTTCCTCAAAGCATGGACTTCTACTCACCATCTCCATTTCCCCAATTCCCATTCTCTCAACTGCTTCACTCTCTTCAAAGCCACTGTGAGCTTCCCGTAGGCAGACGCAACAGAGAGCGCGGGGGGTACTCCTCTGTGCTCATCCTATCCAACCTCCAGGTTCTTTGACAGTTGGTCATGCCCTTCTTTCTGAAATTCTTCTTCACATGGTCTCTGGGACCCCTCTTACTTCTGCTTCTCCTCTCACCTCACTGGCTGGACCTTCCTCTTTCCAATCTCTAAATAATAGTGTGCCCTTGTGCTCAATCCTTGGACTTCTCCGTGTGCGCTCACCCCCTGTGATCTTGTCTAGCTACACAAGCTTTAAGCAGCAAGTCCAAAATTGCATCCCCAACCTCGGCCTCTCTCCTGAGCTCCCAGCTTGTATGTTCAATTGCCGACCCTGCAGGATCCTCACGGGACTAATAGGCATTGCAACCTAACCGGCCCAGCTGAACTCTTGGGCTCCACCCTCCAAACATGCTTCTCCGTCATGCTTCACCACCTTAGTAAAAGACATTATCTGCCCACAGTCATGCTTAAAACCTGGTCAGTCCCGAGATCTAGGAATCTGTTAAACTCTATTCTAGTACAGAGTTTCTCAACCTCGGCACTACTTCGGGCCAGACAGGGCTTTGTGGGGAGCTGTAAAATGTTTGGTTTGCTCCTCCAGAAGGCAGCAGGATCCATGGACAGGTGCCAGACCCACTCGGAGTCAGTGCTCCTCGTACCGCGGACCTCAACGCGGTGTGGCGCGGGGGCCGGGGCGATGTGCTGCGCAGGGAGCTGATGGTAAACCTGTGGCTCACGGGCAAGCAGCCTTGGTACAAGCCTAGACGGTGCAAGTTTCTCTACCACCAGGTGCCAGTACTACCCTCTCTCTCTCGCCGTGACAAAAAAATGTCTGAACAGTGCAGCCCAGCGGGCACTAGGACCCCGCGCGGCGCCGCGCCCGGCTGGGGGTTGGGGGGAATCCGCTCTTTCTAGTCTCCGGGAGCCAGGCTGCGGCCACTTGTGCGATCCGGGCCGCACCGCGGCCGCCCGGCCCCTTTCCGCAGGATGAGCCGCAGGTTCACAGTCACCTCGCTGCCCCCCGCGGGGCCCGCCGGGACCCCCGACCGAGAGTCCCACGGGCATCCGGCCACAGATTTCCGCCACCTCTCTGGGGAAGACGCCAAAGGTAGAGGCCGCAGGGGGCGGGGCCTGAGGGAGT